AAATTGAAAACGAACAAAAGAAGAAGAAGAAGAAAACGAACAAAAGAAGAAGAAGAAGAAGAAGAAGAAGAAGAAGAAGAAGAAGAAGAAGAAGAAGAAGTAGCGAGGCCAATCGCCACTCGTCCACGTACATTCAAACAGAGCATTCATAACCACACGGACATATCAGCTGCTCAAACGCGCACAGTCCTCGGCGCATTCGGCTGGTTGCGCGCCAGCACTTGCCAAGAGGCTTTCCTCAGTCCCGCATCCACCTGCACTTTCCACCCAGAGCAAAGAGGGCCGTTCTGGCCTTGCACTCTACACATATAAGAAGAAGAAAAAGAAGTAGAAGGACAAAAGAAGAAGAAGAAGAAGAAGAAGAAGAAGAAGAAGAAGAAGAAGAGGAAGAGGAAATAGAAGCCGAAGAAGGGGAATCATTGCCCTCTTTTCTGTTATCGTGTCACCACTGGAAAGCCGGGTTTGATCTGGCGCCGTCGGTGCATGGTTGACGAAAGCTGTCGACGTGCCAGAGCAGGCTGTCGGCAAGACAAAGAACCCGGCAGATTAGCATTAACACGACGTCGAGAGGGGCCAGCCTCGTCTCTCTCTCTCTCTCCCTCTCTCTCTCTCTCTCTCTTCCCCTGATTGTTCTCTTAGCCTTCGCCATCTCTGCCTCCTTCCTTCGCTACGTCTGCCTCTGGATGAGACGCTGGCTACTGATACCAGAAACAACGACGCTGGGCCCATCATTCATCAGCTTGGGCATATGACCTGGTTATGCCCTTGGGACACATACCGACCGAGAGCATTGAGGCAAAGCTCTGGCTTTATGTTGGGTTCCTAGGTGCCAACCAGCTATGTCCGAGTTTGATTGGCCTTCCTTTCCTCCATAGTGTCTCACCATAGCTACCTGGGACACTTCTGCTTGTGCGTGCTCACTGTCTTCTTGGGCGCCACTGGATCTACAGCCACGATTTACAGCCACAGATAAAGACAAGAGGGGATCTGTGACACTTGTGCAGCAGAAGCTCCTGAGCTGGGAGCTTACCATCAAGAGAGGTCAAGGTGAAGCCTGCTGTTGTCATGCTGTTGCGCCACCTACTTCTTCTTTATTGCTGATACCCTTTCTGTCTTCTGTCTGCTGTCTGGTTTGCTGGAAAACATCAGCAGGCAGGTTGAACCTGTAGTGCTGCTTAAATTCAGCGGTGTGTTCAGTGTGGTGACAAGTCGTAGGATCCTAGTAGTGCTCTCTATTCTCCGCTGGTTGCTGATTGCGATGGTTGAAAGGTGCGCCTGCGCTGGATGATTTTCAACTCGTAGGAAATAGGAGAGGAGAGGTCATCAATTGCAAGTATGGGTCATGCAGTGATGGGTGGGTGGTTCATCGTCGAACAGGGTCCCAGGATCCCCCCCTTAGCTAAGGGGGGGTGAGCAGGACAATGGCAATAAGCGTTTGTTGGATCGGTGTTGTATGTAGTTCATGCATCACGAACATGATTGTTTGATCAAACTTGGCTCGCTGCCGTTTTATTTGTGAAACGCAGAGGCCAGCGACAGCTACGCCGAAGCACAAAAATTGGAGAAGGGTGGAAAGAGGTGGGAACAGGGTGTGCACAAGCGGCCTAGCTCAGTCGGTTGAGCACATAATTCGCACTCAGGAGGTCGGGGGTTCGATTCCCAACGTCCTCCTTTCGATCCCCCACGGTCTTCTGGGGTATATGCTTCGGGTTCACCAGCGGAGATGGTTGGCTTGGGCCTCCTGGCTGGTTGTGTGAAAGTGATCTAGGTACTTTCCAGCTGACGCCAGGTGTTAGGAGCTAGGATACTGCTCTCCGTATAGTGTAGAGGTGTGCTGCATAGAGCTGAGGTGTGTTCTGCAAATAGGTAGCGTTTGGTAGACCCATAACCCTTAGGAATGTCTCCATGGCCTAGTCTATAATATTCTGAAAAAAAAAAACCCTGTCCCCTGTATGAGGAGGAGACATTTTTTCTATATAAAAAGGTGGGAACGGGGTGCCAAGGGGGTTGAGGGTTTTCAGTTTTCAAGCATATGAATACTTGGCAATACCATCTCTCTCTCTCTCTCTCTCTCTCTCTCTCCCCCCCCCCTCTCTCTCTGTGTGTGCTTGTGTGAGTGAGTGTGAGTGTGTGCATGGCCCCCAACTCCTCTTTTCTGTCTCTGTGTGGTTGATTTCCATGCAACGGAAGCTCTGCATGATGTGTGGCCCGTTCCACCCAGCAATCTCATCCCGTACTTCCTTCGCCATCTGGTGGTTCTGTTTCTTAGAAGCTGGCTGGCCGCAGCCGCCACCCAATCGTAGGAAATCCCACTCTTTGATGATCCCATGCAGTGCATGAACACAGCAACAGAAACACAAAAAGCAGAGCAAGATGCCACGAGGATGATAGGGGTTAGTGACGAACGGTTTTTCTCACCGGCTCATCAGGAGGCTGGACCCTTGACAGTCTGCAAAATGCCCTATTGATAATTCAAGCCATAATCTTCTTCCTTGCCGAAGTGAACAGGCAGGCCAGTTTGCAGTTCAAGAAGGAAGGCCACAACAGCAGACGGGCAAGGCAAATGGGCAAGCGGTGGGCATAACAAGGCATGCAGAAAGGCGACACAGCGCAAGTGGTCAGGCGGGGAGGCACAACGGCAGGCAACAAGGCAATACGGCAGAAAATCGGACAATGCAAGGCAAGCGGGGACCCGGGGGGAGGGGGGGTGCGGACATGAAAATATGGCAAGTAGACAGACAACAAGGTGGGCAGCGAGGCAAACACACGGCAAGTGGGTGGGTGGGAACTCGGGAGGCACCCGGGCAAGCAACAGGGGAGCAAGGCAATAAGCGCACAGCAGTCCACAATCGTAAGATGCTTGCACAGATAGCAATTCTTTATATCACAAGCTTTAAAAAGCTTCTACTAGTTATAAATGAGTAGAGAAATATATATATTTCTTATACAATATAATCTATTTCTTAGTATAAAGAATCGAAGGACTATCACCTACTCACACCGAACGAAAGACTTTGTCCTAACTTTGTAGACTGTAGGGCCACACTTCAGTCAACAGCCAGGGAACACTGTAGAGACGCACAAGCAACATCAACACATCAGCACCCTCAATAGTGCAAACAACACTCTAATCGGACACAATTGCCTAGCTATTAGTCACATGAAGAAGGCGTCCACGGTACATAGTACATTAAAAGGGCATGCAGAAAAACACAACAAACCTAGTTGGCACAGGACGAAGCATATATCTTAGGAAAACACACAAAAAGAGGAATAGAGTCGATAAATGTTGTGCATGTCTGTGCTTTTGATATGTGTGTATGTGTGCATTTGTCTGTGTCTGTTCGTCTGTCTGTCGCCTTCTCTCCCTCCCTCTCTCTCTCTCTCTCGCTCTCTCTTCACACACCCACACACACAGACACACACATACACAGAGGAGGGGGAAAACATAAGGCACTGTTAGACTCTCTTCACATACATGGCTGAGTGGGTGTGTAGAGTGGGTTTTATGACTGTGTCAGATTAGTTTCTCAGACTTACTATCGTTCTTGTCAGGGGTTTGGACTGTCGGGGTTCAGTCTGCTAGGATTACAAGGTTGGTGTGAGTAAAGTGGGGACCACTTTTCTCTCTCAAGGATGGGTATCGCTAACTCTGGGCGATGTGGTGAGTCCTTATCCATCAGTCACATGCATCCTGGGCAGACTGTCGGGGTTCAACCTCCTGATGAGTCCGTGAAAGTCCGACGAAACAGTCTGTTCGGTACAGTCATGCTTTTTTTGAGTGGAGTCAATAAATGTTGTGCATGTCTGTGCTTTTGATATGTGTGTATGTGTGCATTTGTCTGTGTCTGTTTGTCTGTCTGTCGCCTTCTCTCTCTCCCTTTCTCTCTCTCGCTCGCTCTTCACACACACACACACACATACACAGATGAGGGGGAAAACGTAAGGCACGCACTGTTAGACAGCATGCAAGCAAAAGGGCAATTTGCGAAAACAGCCGGTGAAGCTGATCAACGAATCAGATGCCTGATGAGAAGACAGAGAGAAAAGAACCGTTTCTCGTTCATTCACGAGCATGAACCCTTACCCCGCTTTCACTTATACCGTGACAATGTCCAACCAGAGTCAGCAAAAAAGATATCTCAAAACGAGCTAAATTACTTACAGAGAGGTACGCATAAGCTCTAGGAATGCCTCAGGATAATTTAAACACCCATCCGAGCAAAACTCGATCAACCAGCTTGTCTGCGAGAAGGAAAGGAATGTACGGATCACGGCAATTGATCGTACATCGCACAGTTGACAGAGAGTCCAAATGGGGGACCTCTCCTCTTCGTACGGACTGAGATTACGAATGTGCATAGCGCACGAAATGCATGGCATGTTTGGACTGTACGGAAGGGAGGGAGCAAGCTCGGGACTTGCTGGGTATATGCGGGGCCAGATGACTTCGCAGAAGAAGCAACCTACGCACCACCCAGAAAATTGACACACGTGAGCACAAACTAGGACTTCACAGCAGAAACAAGCCACACCTCAAAGAAAACAAGCACAGCTGAGCACGGATTGGGTATCAGGAAGACCAGTAAACCGCCGTGTAGGTTCACAAGCCAGTGAGTTATAAAGAGACACAGATAGCGGCTGCAATACAAGAGAAATGAGGTGGTTTGGACGCTGCAGTCAGCGTCAGGTAACAGAATCTATCATAGGATCTATCATAGGCGTAGAAGATACATTATGTATGCATGGCGTAGAAGATACATATATATCTCTAAGGGGTTCACAAGCCGGTAAATGTATGCATGTGACAATATATCTCTAAGGGGTTCACAAGCCGGTAAATGTATGCATGTATATCGTCAAACACTGACAAACAGTGTATATGACGATATGTACATGTGTATATGGCAAGAACTTGTCTGTTTAAATTCAATGGTGTGAAGACGACTTTCTTCGTGAGGCCACGTGGCTTAGGTGGTAGGGGAACTCCGTTGATAAGGGAGAGGGAGGGGAGTGTGGTACAGCATTCCACACGGTCGTCGTCAGTGTTGTTGTTGTTGTTGTTTCTATTTTTCGTGTTTTGTTTTTGCTGTTATTGCTCTTGTGTTTGTCACGAGGTGAAATGCATCTGACCCTGAATCGCAACTTGTCTCTATGGTGCATGGTTTGATAGCGAGTCGGGAGGCGTTGTATTGGGCGGAAGAAAGACGGCCATCCAGACTCCGATTTCTTTACTGCGAAGGACAGACTGTGACAGGTTATCCTTTGTGTCTCCCTTTCTGTTTCTTTTTTTTTCCCCTCTCGATCTCATTTTCTTGTCCTTTCTTTCTCTTCTTATCATCAGTTTGATGAAAATGAAAAAGAAGCTATAGATACTAAATGACCGTCCATTTTGTCTTTGTTTGGGCAGGGTAGGACAGGGCGAGGGGGAGGGGGAGGGCGAGGGCGAGGGGGAGAACCACCTGTTCCTGTCTGTCTGCAGGTTACTTAGGCGTGCAACGAGCGAAGAGCCACACATACAATACATATGCGGTGGTCACATAAGTCACTGCCTCATTTCACCCGAGCAACAGGCATCCGTTCTTGTAGACTGAACCTGTGCAAGATCGTGCCCGTGAGAAGGCCCGCGTTGTGAAGGTGTGTTGTGTCGATAAACCCCCCAAAAAAGGAAAAACAGAGAGAAAGGGCAGAGTAGAAGTGGAAGGAGTAGGAGGCAAGGTGTGTTGTCGATAACCCAAAAAAAAGGAAAAACAGAGAGAAAGGGCAGAGTAGGAGTGGAAGGAGGAGGCGGCGGCGGCGGCAGAGGAAGGGCTGGGGGAGAGAGGAGGGGGAGGGAGGGACAGTTTCTTTGCATATTTGGGGTTCGATACGGGAGGTGACAGCTCCGACGTGCAGGCCGCTTGTGTAACTTAGTAGCGCGAATGGCGATGGCGGCGAGCATGAGCGTCGCTGGCACTGCCGTCCCGGCGGCTTACGTGGAAGCTGGGACCTGGGGTAAAAGCAGCACCACACTGGACACATGTAGTCTTCTTAGCTGTCGCCGCCAGAGCGTACCGGGGGCATGCATGGATGCAGCCGGGAGAGGGAGTAGGGAGAGAGGGCTTGCGGCATGGATGGGCTCTCGTCGCTGCCCCGATTGTTTCTACTGGTCCATGTCGTCATCGGTAGTTGGGAGGAGGGGATCGAGATCGAGATTGGGTGCCAGATTAGGCAGTGCAGCGGCCGGAGCAGCGGCGGAGCAATTCCTCTCCGGTCAGCGATTGGTTCTCGACCCGAAGAAGGAGGAGGAGGAGGGAGGCTTTGTCCCAACCGGCAGCGATGTCGGCTGTGCGCCGAGGCAACAACGACGCAGGTCCCGGATGATGGTGCGACGTGTCGTCCGAGCAGGCCTTCGGGAGGTCCAGAGGCAGCGAGAGGAGCAGCAGGAAGAGGACTCCGCGGCGGCCGGTGAAAATGGATCTTGGGGGGGGGAGATTTTCCAAAGCACCTCCTCCTCCTCCATCGACAGAGCTTCGCTGGCTACCATGGTGTCCAATATGCGCCGCAAGGCGCCAAAAGGCTTGTTCCCGCCGGAGCCGGCCAAATACAACGGACCCAAGCTCCGTGTTGCGATCGTGGGATCCGGACTAGCTGGCATGTCGACAGCCGTCGAGCTGTTAGACCAAGGTCATGAAGTTGATATCTTCGAGGGCAGGCCGTTTATTGGCGGGAAAGTGGCCAGCTATAAGGATAAGAACGGCAATCACGTGGAGATGGGATTGCACGTGTTCTTTGGCTGCTACAACAACTTGTTTCGCTTGATGAATAAGGTTGGCGGGGACAGAAATCTGCTTCTGAAAGATCACACCCATACCTTCATTAACAGGGGGGGAGGGGTGGGGGAGTTAGATTTCCGCTTCTTTACAGGGGCTCCATTGCATGGGATCAAGGCCTTCTTATCGACAAACCAGTTGTCTTTTGGCGATAAGGTTCAAAACTCCCTGGCACTGGCAACCAGTCCCATCGTCCGGGCTTTGGTGGACCCTGAGGGGGCCATGCAGGACATCCGCGACTTGGATAAGGTTAGTTTCACCGAGTGGTTTTTGGGACAAGGGGGGTCCCGCGGAAGCATCGATCGGATGTGGAACCCCGTCGCCTACGCTCTCGGCTTTATTGACTGCGACAACATAAGTGCTCGCTGTATGCTGACTATCTTCGCCTTCTTCGCTACAAAGACTGAGGCCTCTGTGCTACGAATGCTCAAGGGGTCGCCCGACAACGGGTTGAGTGGACCTATCAGGAAGTACATAGAAGATCGAGGTGGCCGCTTCCACGTTCGCTGGGGCTGTAGGGAGATTCTCTACGAGGAACAGCTTGATGGCTCTGCCGTCGTCACCGGATTGGTGGTAGGGAAGAGCACGGAGAAGAAGGTCGTGAAGGCGGACTGCTACGTGGCCGCCTGTGACATTCCGGGGATCCAGAGACTTCTTCCCAAGCGATGGCGGGAATGGGAGTTCTTCGACAACATATACAAGTTATCAGGTGTGCCCGTTGTGACGGTCCAGCTCCGGTACGACGGTTGGGTCACTGAAATGCAAGATATCCAACGGTCGAGAAATTCAAAATCTGCGGTGGGCATCGACAATCTTCTCTACAGTGCAGATGCTGACTTCTCCTGCTTTGCTGACCTTGCTTTGACCAGCCCCGAGGACTATTACAAGGAAGGGGAAGGCTCTCTTCTGCAGTGTGTCATCACCCCTGGAGACCCGTACATGCCTCTCAGCAACGAGGAAATAGTCCGCAGGGTCAACGAGCAGGTCTTCAAGTTGTTCCCATCTTCTAGAGGTCTGAACCTCACCTGGTCTAGTGTTGTTAAGATCGCCCAGTCTTTGTACCGAGAGGCGCCTGGCATGGACCTTTTCCGCCCCGATCAGTCCACTCCCGTTCCCAACTTCTTCCTCTCTGGCAGCTACACCAAACAAGATTACATCGACAGCATGGAGGGTGCTACCTTGTCGGGCAGGCAGGCTTCCACCAAGATTTGCCAGGCTGGCCAATTACTCTATGACCTTTCTCAGAGTCTGACAGCGAAAGCTGCCCAGCAGCAGGAGCAACAGATCTCAGGCGAGTCCGATCAGCAGCTGCAACACCAGAAAGAGGAGGATGAGGAGGAGCTACTCACCTTCGTCTAATCTCTCTCTCTCTCTCTCTCTCTCTCTCTCTCTCTCTCTCTCTCTCTCTCTCTCTCTCTCTCTCTCTCTCTCTCTCTCTCTCTCTCTCCCCCTC